TGTGTGTGTGTGTGTGTAAGTGAGCAGAAAACTGTGAGTGTGTTTGTATGTATGTATGTATGTATGTGTGCATGTGTGTACAATTCCTCACCTTGTGTGAGCCAGGGGTGAGCCAAGGCCTCCGCTATGGTCACTCTCCGCGCCGGGTCAGGGGTCAGGAACTTCCTCAGGAGATCTCGACACTCTGCGAGTCAGGACAACAGAACGTGAGCTCATACAATGAGGGTATATTACATCACGTGAGCTCATACAATGAGGGAATATTACATCACGTGAGCTCATACAATGAGGGAATATTACATCACGTGAACTCATACAATGAGGGTATATTACATCACGTGAACTCATACAATGAAGAAATACTGCACGATGAGATGTCCCTCCATGTTCTACCATCTTTCTACACATAATTGTTACATCAGGTGCCCAGCTAAACCATTTGCACGTATCTTGATCGATACTAGTTGTTTTTTTTACCGCCCCCTCCTAGCCATCCCCCCAAAATGAGGAAAGAAAGAAGAGAGAAGAAAAGAAAATTGGAAGAAAATCGATACTTTCGCTCATTCAAAGGCAGCAGCTTAGATCCTGCCTGTCAGGTCCAATCCGGTTTAAAAGGGATACTGTATCCCAACAGAAAGACTAAGGAATTTGATTTTTTTTAAGCGACCCCTCAAAACAAACAAACAAACAAAACAAAACGCAAACAAACAAACAAACAAATCAGCAAACAAGAAAAATAACAAAACAAGAAATAAGCAAAAAAACAAACAAAAAACAAACGAAAATACATCAACAAAAACAAAACCAAACCCAAAAGACAAGTAAGCGATAAAAACAAAATTTAACCCAAAAAAAAACGGAAAAGAAAATAACGTAAACTAAAATAAGAAGAAAAGCCAACGACCCATTGAATCCCTGCTGTTACGGAACTCTTGAGTTTGAGCTGTTGAAGGAGTTTTCAAAGCGGACCCTGTATGGCTGTGTTCTGTCAGCGTAGCTAGAAACCACATTCAGAAGTAATTCATTTAATTAACTTGGCAGGGTTGAAAGTGGCGTTAAACCTTTACAATTATAATGTGTGTTTCCCTAAAAATGGAAATTGTTTCAGAATGCTGTCAGGGCTGCAAGTGCATAGAGCTTGCTGTTGAGCGGTAATTTGCGCTACACAAATGCTGTCTATATCATCATTAATATTATCAAATATTATCACCAAATAATCAGGGCATTTCTCCAGCTACATCATTACGTACAGGTTCTGAAGTTGCCTGCCATTTTCTGGTTCTGCGGATAGTTTGAGGGCACCACTGGTAGGTCATAGTTATTTTCTTTCCTTTAAAAAAAATGCCTGCCTGTCTCTCCCCCCCCCCCCTGCCCTTTTTGCACTGAATAAAAATGCAGCTGTTCTTTGTTTTATCGAGAACCACTTATCAATGATTCTGTTGTGTTTTCTAAACAATGGGATACCTGACGTCAGACACATGAAAGGAGTACCCTCTCTGTCGGCCGGGATTTTATTTTCTTTGACAGTATTTCTCTGCTGTCTGTATGAGTGTGTGTCTGTCGGCGGGTGAGTGTTTGCGTGTGAGTGTGTGATTTTGTGGTTGTGTGCAAGTATGTGTGTGTGTGCGTGTGTGTGTGTGTGTGT